GCTCTAAAAGAGATCTTTCTTTTCACAAAACTACTCGATAAAGGGCGCATTGTAAGCTTTTCCGATACTTTTCTATCGGCATTTATCTTGTTTTGCATATAAACTAGTCATTTGCATTTACGTGTGAGAGAAATTTGAAACAGATGTGATGCAATATTAAACGCACACATAGAGTTAGTAGGAGGGTTGGAATACAATAGTCTTTTGTGGCAGTGTGTACAGGTCCACGGGGGGCGCGGGGCATCCCCAGCCGGGTCTGTGCAGCTATGGCCCCCTGACTTCATGCTGTCCTGGATGGAGGAATGTGGACGGCTCGTGTCAGCGTAAGTTAGGGGTGAAAGTTTGACTGACCATAGCGAGTGACACATGAGGGAGAAGGCGGAGGTTATCGTGGGGTAGCTCCTTTAGGCCCGCACAGGCACAGATAAGCTCGCCATGATTTATGACTGTCCTGCTATCAGACACTTTCACCTGAGCCTAAGCAGCGCAGCTAATGCGCAGGCAATGAAGGGCATCTTTGACTGAAATCTGATGATATCTGAATAAAATAAAAAAATAACATAAATGACACATACATAAATAAATAAATATGCAATATTGTTGGGTAACTAGTTAGAAATGTTAGTTAGTTAGAAATGTTTATAATTGATGTGCTTATGTGTTTATATGGATGTGTTTTCTGCTACTGGACACCTGAATTTCTCAATCATAAAGTATCAATAAAGTATCTGTCTATCAATCTATCTTTCTATCTATCTATCTATCCATCTATCTATCTAAAATACAAAAAAGAAATGCATACATAAGATACAATAAAATAGAGGACAAAACAGAGAGTGGGAGACAGACAGTGTGAAGATGTTTAATTTTAGTGAAACGTTCTCTCACAATTCAACAGCCTTCTCTGTGTCTGAGTGTCCAAAAAAGCATCATTAAAAGTCTATACATTATTATTGTTTTTATTATTGGATGTTTGTTTTGAAAGAGATGTTTTTCTTGTTTTGAGTGCTTCCTCTAATCCGACTGTTTTTGCACTGTGCTCTCCAATAGTGAAATGTATCCAGGGACAGAAAAAAAGGTTATCCTATCATGGGCTGAGTGGATAGCACTCTCGCTTCTCTGCAAGAAGGTCTTGGGTTCGAAACCCGCGGTCTGGATCAGAACAGAGCCTTTCTGAGTGGAGTTTGCATGTCCTCCCCGTGTCTGTGTAGGTTTCCTCCGGGTACTCCGGTTCCCCCTACCTCCTGTACTGGCGACCCTTCTTCCATCTCTGTGTGGAGTGAGAGACAAATGCCCAAAAATAACAATTGTAAACCGCTTTGTGACTCTGGTCTGTAAAAGGCGCGGTATATAAATAAAGATTACTACTTTTACTTACTTACTATCATTAATTTAGGCAAAGTGATTTCAGATAAAGTTCCATAAATTCCATTGTTGCCTTCTATCTCAATCCCTTAAATACGAGATACAGAGGCTTGAAGGTTTTGCGGATTCTGTCATGTCTATGACCACAAACATTTCTATTTTGGAAGTTCTTGAAAGACCACAACAAAGTAACAGTTGAAATGAAGTGACAGTACAATGTTATTTATCAAAAAATACCAGCTTTCATACCTAACCTTTTCCTACATATAAATTTTGTTTGTCCCACTGTCTGTATCTTATTAGAAAACATATTTTATTTATTGAGAGCTGATTGACTGCATGAAGGGTGGTCTGCTCTTATTCAGTGAAAAACAGTGCACACTCTGAGTCTTATGTATGTCTACTTATTTTTGTATATGGCTTCATTTAGATCTATGTGCTGCAATTTTTTGTGTGTGTGGATTTTGTAAAAAAAACAAAACAAGATAGGAGCTAAGCTATATTTCACCTAACACACTGGCAACCCAAAGGAGAGCCTCATTCTGCTCTATAATTGGATAACTTGCATGAAAACTGTAAGCATGAACTATTTATAGATCTGTTTGATATGGACACAAAAGATACACTGGGCAGACCAGGTGTGTTATAGCAAGACCGTGCTAATTTTCAACACTGAAAATGTAGGATCATGGACATGTTCCTATGGTCCCTTGAACTCCCAGAGCAGTTAATTTGATGGCTTTCAGTTCTGTAAATGTAATTCCTCAGCGTATGTACATTTTTTGGTCTTCATAATTGTTTCTGTTTCTAATTTTTTTCCTACGGCATTATATTTAGGACATTTTTTTTTTTCTTTTTTACGTAAACTGTTAATTACCATATGTACCATAGAAACACACTGTTTACTTGCCAGCAGTTAAAATGTGGTTGCCTTTCAACAAACCGTATTTTCTGTATTTCAAGTTACTGTGTATTCTTAGCTCTAAGGAAAAGTGAGAAACGTGAAAAAAAAAAAAAAAAAAACCTGGTTGAAAATGTTACTTTTTGCGAGGAATTTATCAGAATTCCATTGGTTTGTACAATGGAGCAAAAGGGTCACCCGATTTTTTTTTCGCCAGGCACTATGAGATTGAAGCATAAGTAATTGGAATTTAAAATCGAAAAATTATGAGAAAAAAGTAGCAAAGTTATTAGATTAATCTCAACATTTTAAGAAATTAATCTTGAAATATTTTGAGATAAATGAAGAAAAATTCACAGTCAGTAAGGAGACAATGGAGCTCCATCGCAAATAGCTGCTAAATGTTTTATGTTTAAAAAAAATCTTAAACTGTTGACCTAATGTAACAGTGGTTTTAATTGTTTATGAACTGTATGTGAGTATGGCGGAAAATGAAAGGAACAGAGGACAGGGGAGGAATAGAGGACACAGGAGCGGCTTAGGATGGGCACGATATGAGACCCAAGCCAGCGAGGTGCCCAGGTGTGTGAAGCCTGGCCCCCAAGGCAAAAAGTGTGACCCCACCCGGCGTGATGAAGCCGTGGGCGGACCCTGGGAGGAGATGGAGCGCAGACCGACAGTTTTTTAGACTGACTTTTGACGTTTTTAGCAAATAGCTTTTGATTCAATTTGTATCCGTTAAAAAAAATGAAAAACCCATATACATTATATTAAATTTGCCTTTTTACTGGTCACACCCCTTCAATGGACCCTTTAAAACATGTGACACACGCGTGGACCGGTTGGAATTGATGATATTGGTAATGATCTTGATAGATTGATGATATAAAACGTTGAACTCCAACATCCATCCATCCATCCATTTTCACTGTTATATTGGGTCATCAGATTAAGAATATATGAAAACATAAAACCCAATAGAGCTTCAGTAACCAAGGTGTTTCTCTGTTCATTTAACTGCTTTGTACGATGGAGCTCCATTGTCTTTTATCTCATAGGTTTGGGTGTTCTAGTAGGTTTGAGTATTCTAGTAGTTTCATGATTCTGTTATAACTAAACCTTCATTTTTCTTTTGCATGAATTCCTTCTTTTGTAGCCGTGTGCCGGACGCCCTGTTGGAGCGGCGTATGCGTGGGCCCAGACAAGTGCGCCTGCCCCAGAGGCTATAAAGGGCCGCTGTGTGATGAAGGTATACACATTAAAACTCAGCTGCGTGTAATGGACTGTGCATCACCATATGTTGCGCGTGTGCGTGCATGGCGGCTGAATGCGATGTCTTATTGGCTCCAGATGTGAACGAGTGCGGCTTGGTGCGACGGCCGTGCTCCCAGCGTTGCATGAACACGCACGGTAGCTATCGGTGTTACTGTGAACCTGGCCACACGCTCGCCGCAGATGGCTCCACCTGCCACAGTGAGTCATCTCTACCATCGCCGAGAAACGTTTACGCACACACGGCCGTTCTGTTGGGTCTGATTACAACCACGGCCATCTGTCGCCATCAAAGGAGAAATATGATGATTGTTTTGTTGTCCATAATATGGACGGTAAAGTCCTGGGTTTGATTCCATCTCTAGAAACTGGCCTTTTCTGTGTAGAGTTAGCATGTTCTCCCCGTGTCCCTGGTGTAGGCATCATAGGTGTGCTCCTTTTTCCTCTACCAGTATAGGTTCATGAGTGTGTTTTTACTTTGGGACTACTGGATTTTAGCAACCCAGCAACTACCTGGGGTGTTTTACTGCAGTTCATTAATTCACACTATCTAAAAATATCAATGCATTTCATGAAATTAATTAGTGTAATACAGAAATGAATTAACTTTTGATCCATATTCTAATTTTCTGAGTTTCACCATACAGGGTCGGGGTTAGGGTAATGTACTTACTCCAAATTCCTTACATCGTGATAGAGTTATGCATAGAACACATATTTCAAATTAGTAGAATCTTTCTAAACAATGATCAGACATAATTCAAGCTCAAGCCCGAGCATTTGACAAATTTGATTCACCCACAAAGGTTTTCTCTCTTGCAACTTGAACTATGCTTAGTCATGGCCATGGTCACTGGTAAAGTATTCCAGGTTTTCATGGCTTTCAATATGTGTTTTTGGAGACATTTTGCTTTAGCTCTTGGAATGATAAAAAATCCCTTAATTGCTCAGAAGAAAAGTAGAAAAACTCATTTATGTGGATTATTTTGAAAGGGAGATAACTTCTCATAGTACGATGTCATAGTGGAACAATGACATCATACTTTTACAGGACTGAGACAGGATGTTTTAGACAGAAGGGGCGGAGTTACATGTCTGTGCCAGAAGTTCCTTATATTAGCGTGGATCTAAACTTCAGGTCTGTGACTGATGAAGGGACGATGTTGTAACAAACAGGCAAATGCTCAAAAAAGCTCAAAAAATTTTCTTCTTTAAAGCAGATTTGGAGAGCTTGGTGTTTCATCTATCCACAGTCATGAGCTACCAATACTTAATTCTTGCTTCTTCATTACGCTAAAGTTGGAGATCTTAGCTACAACAGCCCCATACTGTTTATATTAGTCATACAGAAATAAAAAACAAGTAATTTTCTGTTAGATCCGAGAGTTAATGTGCTCCATTTTGCATTCATGATGTAGGAGAGCCTGCTTGCTTGTCCCCACGGTGCCAGTTTGGATGCCATATGGTGAGAGAGGGAGCGATGCGGTGTCTGTGTCCCCCCGGCCTCCACCTGGCTGCGGACAACAAGACCTGTGAAGGTGGATACCAACCTGTTTTCATGCTTTTGTTTACCAGGTATTACAACATACATTTATTTGTAGAGCGCATGTCGCATACACAGGGAAACTCTGCTTTCCCCTCTTTGTTTAGTGAAGCACATTCTGATCATAGAGGGAAAATAAAAAAAATCACACAAGATACAATACATTTAAAGCTGAGGTATGTAACTTTTTTTGTTGAATTATACATCATTGTTTTCCCAAAAGAAAGAACATACTATACTTCAAGTCAATTCAAACATGCTGTCTTCATTCTCTTTTGAAAATATGTTTTCTTTTGTGTAAGAAAGAGCCCTATGAGTCACTATTTAATGCTTTGGGTTGAGAGCTGATTGGCTAAGTGTTTTTATATATAATTTGAGTTAGCGCAATAAGGACAGAAAGAGTAAAGTAGATTTTGTGACATTTAGTGGACACTCTGAAATCACAATCAAAAATAGTAGCTCACATATTTAAACTAAAGCAGAAAAACATTTAGTCATGCGCAGCATACAGAGTGTAAAACAAGTGTGTACTGTTTCTTCATAAACCCCAGCAGATGGATTGCTCCTGTAATCAGTACTTAGGAGCTACATGCATAGGTGGGAAGATTCTGGCAACAAAAGTGTGATTGCAATTGTGATTACTTTTTTAAACCACTAGACCACGCCTCCTTTAAGTCCAGTCACAGTAAAGTATGTAAAAAGGAACATTTTAAATTACTTTGGTGATTGGTTAGTCAACAGTGGCTGCAAAAAGGCTTCCTCTTTATTTTTTCAGGATATTTTTTTTCCTTTATACAAACAGAGAGAGATGCATTTATGAAAAAACAATCAATGACTGGATTGGATGGTGACATTTTTGGCACCTCTGCTGCGGCCCACCTGTCTCTGGTGCTGTCTGTAATTAGAGCTGGAGTAAACACAGCTCTCCTCTGGGTCCCCTTCAACACTCGCTGTGACCAAAGGCCCTCCATGAGTCGCTCTGTCCTGTAATGAAGCCACGCTCTCACGCCTGTCACACGCATACACACAGCACAACAGTCTCAATTGTGTTCCAACAAGCCATATAGCTTTTGGCTCAAGCAAAAATGTTCTATTCAATTTCTACATTGACCAATTTGGAGACACATGCCATGGTTGGGATTCTTTGTCACATCCCAAAATCAACAGCAAGGTTGTTGAAAATATCCCTAGTTAAAGTTGAGGTGCCTGACTTTTTTAATTGATAACATATGAGTTTGGCCAAAAGATGTAACATGTTTCTCCTATTTTTATTAAGAAAAGGGTCACAACGTTAAAAATATGTATCAACGTCATTTGTTTTGTAATCCTTCTCACATTTTAGTAATAATGTAACTTATATAAAAAACACAAAATAAAATAACAATAAAAATAAAAAAAGGCAAACAAAAGGGAAGAGGACAAAACAAAGGGGTTTCCATTTCTTCATTGTTAAAACAAAAAGAAAAAATGTTTTTACAGTAAACAATAGATGGAATCAGAATCAAGAAAAGTCATTTCGGGTGGGGGAAATAAAAACTAAACTCAATTTTTCCATTTTGAATATTTCTAGAATCGTCCCATATCATTCCTCTACTGATGGTGGTGTTGAGTTCAGCCATTTTCTAGTGATAGATTTTTCACCTGCAGCCAAAAGAGCCTGCAGCAGCCTTACGTCTCCCCTCTGAACCAATGCTGGAGCCAAACCCAAGAAAGAGTTTTTTAAAAGCATAACGTTGTCAACAAATCAGACCACAGCATGTCTTCATATTTTGCATACTAAGAAAGAGCTCTGTGAGTCACTATTTGATACTTAGGGCTGAGAGCTGATTGGCTGATGGAGGGTGGTCCTATTTTTTGGTTTTACATTTTCTGAAGATGTGACAGAGCCAAAAAAAAAAACCTGCTCGTGAAAACTAGTGATAGAACCAAACTGTTTTAGAGCCAGGAACAAGTGACGCTTTACATTATTTGTATCATACCGATTAATCTTTGGTGGTTTGAAAATTAGGCATCTCAGCTTTAATTCAACGCTTGCTGGAGCTGACTTATAATGAGACACCTGATTGGTTGTGATCTTCTTCGTATATATCATGATTCACAAAAACAAACTAAAAACTGAAATTGTTCCTTTGCATTCGTTTTACTCGGAAAGCCATAGTGTTCAGTCTGGCTCTGTCCACGTGGGTAAAACTGGTAGCTGTAAGATGAGGGAGACTTTTTATATCGCTGATCATTATCAGATGGTGCAATATAAAATGATATAAAATAATTCAAATCATGAAATCAAGAGTCTGGTTGAAAATACAATCTAGGTTTAGTTATGTCAAATGGCTTTCCTACGACCTCAGCGCCTGTCTGCATTCTGCTCTTGCCCCCTGTAAAACTCACAACTGGGTTTAAGGTAGTCATTTGTACGTCTCGAGTCTTTTAAAGGGTAATTATCATTTTGAGTTACACTAGTCAACGGGTCAGGGTGAAATTCTTGGAGGCTACAGTTCTCCTGAAGGTGACCTGCCTGCTTCTTGTGCAGATGTGGATGAGTGCGAGCAGAGAGCGGATGCGTGTGCCCAGAGGAGGACCTGCCGGAACACTTTTGGGAGCTTTGTGTGTGTGTGCCAGGACGGCTTCGTGATCGGGACGCTGGAGGGCTCCGTGCAGTGTCGAGGTAAAGCCTGAGTAATAAAACAAGAAATATTAAAGGGGAAATGTACTTTTCTCTGCTTCTGACCATGTTAAAGTTGTTTTCCCTTTTTCATTTACACACAACGCTCATTTTAGCATGATTCTTGCATGTTATTTATATGCTCATATACGCATGACACCATTGCTCTCCCCTCAGTCCTCTGACCTCCACCACCTAGCCTGATTTTTATGTACTTTCTTTGGTACATTTCTTTTCTGAATCCTTGATATGTAATGAAACAAATATGAAGTGAAAAGAAAATTTTAAAGATTGACCTCAACACATTTTTTGGGGCAACACTTTTGTCTCGAAAGACAGAAAACCGCTCTGAGTGTGAGGTCAAAGTGGTACAATGACAACATACTATCACAGGACTGAGGCAGGAGCTTTTGGACAGAAGGGGTGAAGTTCCATGTTTGTGCCAGAAGTCCCTCATAAACTGATCTTGATACCGTGGCTTTTAATCACAGCTATTGTTACAAAATAACATGTTTAAAAACAAGTTTGACCTCCGCCTGCCTACAGGTATGCCTGAATACTGTATTTGCCGGACTGTAAGCCACCACTTCATTCATTTGATTTGAACCCTGCAGCCTTTACAGTGATGTAGCCAATACAGATTTTTATTGTGGTAGAGCTGGACTGTTGTCAGAGATTATGGACTAATCATTTTGACTCCATTAAGTTTTTAGTAACTATAGGACACTCTAATATTGTCAAGGAGTCATTGTTTAGATTCATGGATGCAACGTTAAGGCAATCATGGTAACGTGAGTGAATGTTTGCCTCCTCACATGTTGTTGTTTTTTTGCCTTTAGCTTTGTCCATAACAGGTCATTAGTGCGTTAAAACCAGTGGGGGCGGGTCCCAGCTCAAAAGTGGCAAAATGACGTGCGCTGACATACTTGCAATACCACCCCGGGCCGATGGGGGTGGACCTGGAATAAGAATTATCCAATGCTAACATACAGCATTAGGTGACCTCTCGAAAACGTCTTTACAGGTTGGTCCAAAAGTTGGCTCTTGGCCCAAAGCTCCGTTCCACATGTGTGTCAATGCTGAGGGGGGTGGATTTTTTTGGCCCACTCTGGTTTAGTCGCTGTGAATTTTTGAAGTCTCTCGTTCAAATGAATTAGGCTCTCGCCGGCTGATGCGTGCGCAGATGCGTTTTTCTTGTGGGTGGGACCACTCGCGGCCATTTTGGATAGCTCCAGTAGAGCACATTTTTTGGCCCATTAGTTTGAACGGCGGAGATAGGCGTGACTCTGTCCGTTAATATATACAGTCTATGGTTAAAACACCTCATCATTAAAACATCTCCATCGGCTTTGATATTCTTTATCAGCTGTTGGTTAGTGTTATATTACAACATGAAAACCTGCTTATATTCAGGTCTGGCCTATATGTAAACAAAATATTATTTATTTTCCAATTTAGCTAATGCAGTTTATATACAGGTGCATTGATAGTCCACCAAGTACTTTATATACATTCTGAAAGGCTTAATCAGGATATCGGCTTAACCGTTACCATTAAACCGATACCTAATCCAAAATATTTCTATCAATTTTGGCACCGATATCTGATACTATATTTTATCAGTGCCTCCCTATTATAACTATAGCAGACAAAAAATACCTGGAATCTTGCACAGCATTGTCATCAAACATATATCCATCCCCAAAAACAACCCTAGTAGTGAGATATAATGAAAAACTAAGCCTAATATTTAGGCCTACGTGTTATCTGTAATGCTGCAAATGTATAAAAGCAGGACAGACATTTTAATTCCAAACTGCTCTAAATTCCAGCCAAAGATATCACTTCTCCATGGAGACAAGAATGTGGCAGAGCAGAAAGAATGCACCTTGAAATGTGTTCCTCTGTACTGGCTTATCAGGGCCTTACTTCTGTCAAAATGAGAAAAAGACAACCCAGACTGTAGTCCACTGCATGGAGGGCAGGCAGCTCCACATGTTCTCCTCATCTGTGATAATGAAGCACATGCCACAGCACATGGGAGATGTGCTTCTGGCAGCTCCATCAGGAGAAACATGTTTATTTGATGAGTGCTCTGAGCTCACCCACTCAGCTGTGGGCTTGGGAGCTACGATCTGCAGTCAGCAACATCGGCTCTGTAACAGACATCGTTCAAAATCTAACACTGGCCTTTTGTCTTCTGTATTAGACACTTAACCCTTTAATGTTTTCCTCCACCATTTGGAAAATCACCTTTTGAGTCGCAGTACCTACTTGATGCTTGAAAGTCTGGGGCATCACATGCTTTTAGGCACTTTTACTGTCAGACTGCATCTCAACTATTTGGTAAATGCCAATAATTAAAAAACTAGGGGTTAAAAAAACGTGTTATTGTGTTATTAGTGCTCCTACATCTTAGAAAATCCACAAAATAAAAAAGGACACTGTCATCTACAAGGAGTGGACATTAAAGACTTAAGGCACAGATTTTATAATGGTCAAAGCTGGGGTACCTATAAGTATAACATAAATATTACATGCTTGGCCCAAAAGATTGAGTCTCGTAAAAGTAAATTATGTGAACAATTCAGACCAGATCATGCTTTCGTTATCCTGTTAGAAAACATGAGTGAGTGAAAAGGTTTGGTCCCATGTTAATACATTTTCAATATTTTTCTAGATTTTAAGAACCTTTAGACAGAAGAGCCGGAAGTACATGTTTGTTCCAGAAGTTCCTGGATTGATCTAAAACAGGGGTCTCCAACCTTATCCTCCAGGACAGCTATGACTGTACATCAGAACATAATGATAACCTATTCCTTTAGGCAGCTGAGAGAATAAAACAAGGCCTTAAATTTGAATTAAGCAAGGCCGTAAAAGAAAATTTATTCAATGGACCGGCAGCTTTAGTATTATCAACATTACATCAGTGTATCTTTTGTGAGATTTCATAACACTTTGAAGCAACTTTTGTTAAAGTTAAACTCATCATTCTACCAATGTGCAGAAGCCTGTACTTTTCCACTACTTGTTTTGGTTATCTCCTCAAGGTTGAAGCTACAAGCACACCGTGGCAACTGCTGATTGGAGGACTGCATTCCTCCATGCTGTATAATACACTTGCATTCTGTCGTGTTCTTGTTCGTGCTGTCTACCATTGACAATAAAACATGTCTTCTGTCTGAATTAAAGACACGATCCCAGACTTTGGCTAATTCCTAACACTTAATTAAAATTTGAGCCATGCCTGACTTGAATTTTTGGACTCCTTTTGCAGTCTCGCCTCAAATGCACATTCAACAATCTATGATAATGTGTTGGTGGAGCAAAAACGGCGTTTTCGAAGGTTGTATAATGTAAAATTATTCAGCATGTTTGTCCATTCTAAATCCTTTGGGAAGGGATGGCGAGCTATTGGTTGCTCCCGAGCTAAAGGTTGGAGACCCCTGAAACAACTCCAGGCCTGTGACTGTTGAGGAACAATGTAGGAACATAATTGCGTCATATCTCTCCTTTAAAGTCTAATCTTCTACATTCTGAAAACCGTATACATTTTATATTCCTGCTTCCACAGATATAAACGAATGCTTGACGGCGACTCACCGGTGCAGCCGCCACGCACAGTGTGTCAACACAGATGGCTCGTACACCTGCCAGTGCCGGGACAGTTACCACGGAGACGGGCGCACCTGCTGGCCCAGGAGAGCACTTCAGTTTAAAACACACATGTACTACAACTACAAGCTCTCCAGGAGAAGCAAGCAAGCTATCCCATCCTCATAGTGCTACCACCATCTTACCAATATATGTGCTGTATTTATAATGTCAACTTTCCAATGAATGGGAATATTTTATTAAATGTCACAAAAAAATCTCACCGTCCGTTTTTTGCTGTTTACATTTGACCAGACACAATAGCACACTACACTTGATAAATAGTACTATGTGGAAATGTGTTACAAAAAAAAGGGTATTCATAAAACACATAAACATAAAACCCTAACCCTAACCCAATAAGGGTGAATTACAGTTTGTATTGTTTGTAGCTGAACCCCAGCAGGTGGATTGCATCATTTATTACTGTACAGGAGCCACAGGCAGGAAGATTCTGGCACCAAAAGTATGACTGATGACCATATTCCATTGGGTGAGCATGTTACATAAAATCCCTTTAAACACAGCTATTTCCCATTAGTCTGCAAAATGTGTCTGGAAGTGACGTCAGAATCTATTTTCAGTAACCGTAGAAATTGCTATATGTCAATCTTCAAAACACAAACGAAATTGCACAAACACAGCTTGTTGACAGAGGGCCGAGCTTTCTTCAACTGCAAAGTCTATAAAAGGACGCTTCCAGTCTCCGCCGCCTAAATATTTGACTAAGTCCAAATTAAAAGTGCTCGGCCGTGAGTGGGGAGGCTGCTTAAACACAGACGTCTGTTTTTGTAGCTCCTGTTGATCCGCTGCCCTCTTCCTCTGTTCTGCCACAGGGAATGTCTTCAGACCTAAGTCACATGCGAGGCAGACTACCACACATGGAGGGAGCACAGATAGGTCAGACCCACCCAGCATCAGCAGCCGTCTCTCCGCAGCTGTCTGGAAACCTCTCCTTGCACTCACTGGAAAAGCAACCTGGTTAGTCTTCAACCAAGTCAATTTGAAGCTTCCTTCCGAGCGATTTTCGACAGTGACCCCGGAAGAAGGAATTGGGCTAGTTGGAGATAATGGATTTAATGATGGTGGGCGGTGGTGGTGGGTGGTGGTGGTGGTGGTGGTGATTATGGGGCGACAACAGGGTGCGCCATGTGTTTGAGGGGGAAAAAAATGTGTGTGAGAAGTTCATCTTGATACAGTCCATCCTTGCAGTCGCAGAAATACCGTGGGTCAGGAATGTAACCTTGTGTCATATTCTTGCTGTGAGGTAAATGACTATGCTCCCATTTCGTTGACCAATCCATGCTGTGTGTAATTACATCAAATGGGTTTTTAGAGGTTCAAGTTTTTCTACATGTGCTGCTTTCATTTCCTGTCATTTTTTAAAGGTGATGTCTGCAACTACAAATACAAAAAATACATATATTTGACCATATGATCTTGTAGTGTTACCTAAATTAAGTATTTTTCATAATGAATATATATATAAAATAGTCCCTCCCCTTGGAATACGCAGTGGGGAGACAAATGGTGGGGGGCCTCAGCTGTCTGAATTAATTGCGTCCAATCAGGAAGCTGTGGTGTTTGCGTTTGAAAAACATTTCTCTATCTTCACAATTGACAAAGTAATGGACCTTCACTTCAAAGCTGCGGTACCTAACTTTTGTGTTTCATAAAACAACAATATGTCCAAAAAAATGTCCAGAGAGCGTAGAATGTTGTGAACAAATCAGACCTCGACCTACCGACACAAGAAAGCATGTTCACTATTGCTATACTTGAGAAAGATCTGACAGAGGCTGAATCAACATGCATGTGAAAACTAGCGGAGAACTACAGGAGTTCCATTGTTAAGATTAGAATGTACAAAGGTTATTACAAGTCAGAGATGCAATTACTTTCAAATCAATCTGTGTCCCAGCGCAAGGAGCTACTTTGGAATGATATTTAAATACATGAGTGGAGTGATGCCTTAAAGGAATAGTTCACCGTTTTTACATACTGACATATGTTCTTACCTTACCTTAGACTAGTTAATATGTACCTGTCTGGTCTTAGTCCGTGCGCTCTGTCATGCAAACGGAGCAAAAACGGGAGCACAAACGCAGCCTCCTCTGTATACTGTATAGTACCCAAAAGGTAGCTCCCGCTAGAAGCTACCAAACTCTTCCAAGTGTTCCCTATTAAATGTATATAGTTACGTGACGTGTTACACTGCAAAGTATAGTAACACAGAAATGTAACTGTCGATTTTCTCAGCGGATAAAACGGGTACTATATTGTGAGGCGTAGTAATCTGAGGAGCGCTACGTCCGCGCACTAACTTCTCTCCGTACTACAAGTCACGCTGCTTCTATTGACGGAAGTGAGCGAGAGAGAAGTCTCCGGACAGGTACATATTAACTAGTCTAAGGTAAGGTAAGAACATATGTCAGTATGTAAAAACGGTGAACTATTCCTTTAAGTACAGGGCAAGAAGTAGGGGAAAGGGGTAGGGTCAGAGAGTATATGGGCCTGTTTGTGCATGTGTGTGTATTGAAGAATGAGAGAAAAAGAGGGGTCAAATAAACGTTTGCAGCCTCAACCCTGTTCAACTTATGTAATTTTGTATATAATGCATTTAAAATTTTTAATTCTGAATGTTTTATTCAGTATTGTATTGTTATTGTCACAAGATAAAATATTTAGAGTATCAACGTCAGGGCAAATAGAGTGCTTTACAAAACTGAATCTCCCTAAATTGTGGGACGAATGCATCTTGTGATCTGATAGCACCCTAGTATCCAAGCATCCAAGGATTTTCACAACTTTATTGTATGTTGCTCAAATAAATAATGGCTCAATATTTTCGATTGTGGTGGAGAGGGAGCTGAGTTTAAGGGTAAAGCTCTTGTTTTACTGACCACTCCACATCACATTTCCCACCCTCACCATATGGCCAGGGGTTTTGGGTAATGACTGAAAATAGTCAAAATGAGTTTGCTTCTTTGTGTGGCTTTGAGCTCCCTTAGAGATAGGGGGAGGAACTCAGTCACATAGGAAAAGCTTGAAGTAGAGCCACTGCTTCTCCATGTCGAAAGAAGCCAGTTGAGGTGGCTGTTTTGGATACCCCCTGGATGCCTCCATGGGGAGGTGTTGCGGGCATATCCCACCGGGAGGACACACCAGTAAGTAAGTCAGTAATGTTTATTTAAATAGCACATTTTACAGACCAACGTCACCCAAAGCGCTTTACAATGTTCAGAGTTCAGATATTGTTCCAGTCATTCCACACACGGTGATTACGGAAGTGAGTCGCCGAACACACTGGACCATCAGCCCCCAATCAACACCATCCATTCACTCTCTTATTTACATTCATACCTATTGGGCATGTTTTTTTTGGAAGACCCAGGACACTGTTCCTTAAAATAAACCCTAAGTGCGCATACATGTACAATCTAAAATATTACTGCTTTGTAGCCATAAATTGACAAAATTTAAGTTGGACTTAGGTTTTACTATATTCAGTAAAACCAGTGTGATATAAAACACATTCCTCCCAATTTGTCCCTATTTATCCAATCTCAATTTGACACGTGTCACAGTGACGCAAACTGGGAAACGTGGGGACCATTGACCCATCCAAAGTTTGAGTTAAATCTCCAAGTCGAGCAACGTTCATTCCCATTTTTTCTGGGTAGGAAGTCTGTCCTTGAGAGTTTCCGAGATCTGGAGCTTTTGGAGAATTTTGCATAATATGTCTCCTTTAACACAACCAGGATTGTAACTCTTTCATTCAACAGCAGGTGACACACACTCGCACATGCGGAACAGAATGTGGTTGTGACAGAGACCTGGAACAACTTAAACATAACAAAGAGCCAAATCAGGAAAAACTGCAGCTTCTTTGAAAAAAAAAAAAAGAAATCTCACCACAAAGCCCTCAAAAAGATCCCCAACCTCACCCCAGGAACGGCAAGAAAAACCTGCTTTCTCCCTTTCAAAGCAGTCAAAACGTGTCTTTCTAAAGCTGAAATAGAAAACATTTTAGATAAAGGAATCCAGGCCTCGCTCTGAAAAGGACCTCACACCAAGTTGTATGTAATTCCAACCAGAATCCAGTTTATTTACCGAAAAATAATACGATTTAATGCCAAGGCACTTAGTCTCCGAATAAAGGGCAACAAGTGGTGGGCACGCCAGAGGGGGCTGGGGCAAATCTTTTCTTCTGCTTGTTATTTTCTCAGTTGTGTTTACATGACACACAAGATTTTGCACTTGGGAGGGGCTATCTGAACAGTAGGCCAAATAAAAGGCAACAATAAACATGTCAGAGGAATTTGGACATCAGCAGCGACACAGGGGCCGTGGCGACTTGACCAATCAAGGCCCTCCTTCTCGGCTTTCTCCACGAAGCAAAATCAACATTTGTCCTGAGAAAGTGAGCAACGTCGCTGACAAGTGCGCCGGGCCAATGACAATACAACAGCAGAGAGATGCAGAGAACAAGTGTGCCACCCACGTAGTCTGAAGTGAACTGTAAAACCTCCAAGAGCCCTGTCCTGACCACACTGTCCCATTCACTTTGCCTTGAAATAAGCCACTCGCCCCCTCTTGTGCATCGCTGCAGCCTTTTCCATGGCTAATGCTGGTATTATGTTCCTTTTGCAGCCACATTTCTACAGTCTGTTCGAATACCACAGTCAAAATGTATCACGAGTACGGCTGTAAATGTGTTTGGACTCCCAAATCGTCAGCTGTTTTCAATAGGCACTGAGGTGGGCAGTACTCAGTTACATTTACTGTGAGGAACTATCTGAGAAGAATGTACTTTTAGTAGTAGTAGTTTTCTGACTCCAGACCTACTCTTACTTTGCTAATATTTCTTTAATGCATTGAGGTGCAACTATGCTGGTTGTTCTAATTTTTGGACTCACTAAGACACTAGAGCAGAAGTGCATTCACGTACACAATGACAGACTCTGTACATGCAAAGTGAGATATTTTATAATGTTGATCAACTGTTTGCAACTTCTTCAAAAATACAAAACTCAACTTTGTAATAGAATGTTCCTTTGATGAGGTACAGTCTATGGATCCATGATAGCAAACAAATGCGCTTTTACATTTTTATATTTGTAGCGTTTTCCAATTTTTACATTTCAAAATAAAGGGTTCTGTCCGACATAACCCTATGTAGTACAAGAAATAAAACTCTTGGTTGAATAAGGGCTACTCCCACTGAGACTAAGTAAGCCTACATCTTAATTAGTTATTTTAATAACTTTAATAATAACTACTAATTGGAAATCTACTAATTAAAATACACAGCACAAAGGATTATTTTCTTTGAGCTCTCTTCAGTCACATGTTTGATCATACACAGCTGCTCAAGATGGCTCATGAAAAGGTGTCAAAGGCATCTCCGATCTTTGTTTTCTGTCCAGAACAGAATATGCGTCATGAAGCCACACAAGCGTATTTACTAGGAATATTCTTTAGAAACAGGAGTATAAGGTGTTTGTATCTATAATCGATAGACCAACAACTTCCAAATATTGAATTTTGAAACGGAAATTCAACATCTAATCATCTGTTTTATTACTATTATCATCATTATGATAAATGTATATATATACTCATTACACGCTCCTCACAGCAGCAGTAGAACGTTCTATTGATATGAATGTAATTTCAAAACGTTCTACCGGTCATTATTTCTTATAACGGACCTCTCAAAACAATAATGACCGCTGCCCATGGCAACGCACTCTCTGCTTGTAATTCATTTGTGTAGATTACTCCGCAAGTAGTTCCGGCCACTCCGGAGCTAGCCACGCTCAATAAACGCAAATACCAATCAATCAACACAATTAAATGTTAATCGGAGAATACATTATATGTTAGGATTATTGCTATCTAATACTAACATATACATACACATTCTTAATACACATGCACAGAGGTTTTCAGAATTTTCTGTTAAGGTTTAATGACAAAAATACTGTTTTAATGCGAGAAAAAGCGATCGCGAAAACCCCGGAAGTAGATTCGGGACATTTTAGGAGCATTTACAGAGGATCAAATTATGGATTTAGGTTAGGTTTATGTTTGGGTCACTCACTGCTGATGTTCAGAATTCACTGTTCAGTTTTCATGCAGTTCCAGAGAGTTCTAGTTTGGGAGTTGCTAGCCTAACTGTTTCTTGCCTAGCTGTTGCTAGCCTAACTGTTACTCGCATAGCCACGGGAAAGCCTTTGGGAACTATTTTATTTTCTGTCATTAAATAAACCTTTTGGCATTCCTAAAAGTGGACTGACGTTTATTGTGTGTGTTCTTTTGGTACAAAGCCGGAAAATAAGTACCTTCAGGGCGGAAGCTTCGCCCTGTCGGTAATTATTTTCCGATAATGACCTGTGTACTTTACATTATCCCTTACATATCTGCATTGCCTATATTTATTGATTTGTCCTGCCCAATATACTGTATATATTGGCTGTATGTTGCAAAAATATACACAGACAATAATCAGTTTTATGAATGTCACAAAACATTTCTTTTCAAAACTCGGATTTTTGCTTTCGTAAGTTCAACAAAGATGAAGACAGACTAAACTAACAAGTGGAAAGCAACGAACAGAAAGAAGGACATGAACTGGCACCGCTACTATAGGAATGGATCAGCTAATCAGCTTAAGACCACACAGAAGACACCAAACAATAAAGAGCCTCAATAGATATAATTAATTTTGAATGGTCCAGTTTTATTGGATAGAGCTCCAACATTGCGGCACAAAATATTGGATCAAGACTTCTTTTCCTTTTTTTTTTTACCATCGCAGCACACGCAACCTCTGTCATTATCCCTGTTTTGATCACTGTCCTCCCAGTCACTTTTAAAGCCCATTGTGGCGTGTAAATACATATGAGTCATATTTTTTATATGACCCCACAAATTTGGTAATTGTCTTTTGTAGGTTCTTCAGGTCTGGTCTGTGTGTGTGAGGCCGAGAGCTACAGCCTCGTGTTGAAAGAATGTAGGCCCCCAAAGTATCTTTAAAAGTTCACCGCTGGGTACTCATGTTCGCACTCCTGGCTTTCTTGTCTCCTTGCGCTCCCTTTCTTCTGTCAACTTCTATTCTCTGCACAAGGTAGCTGTAATGAGTGGAACAGCCACATCATAACATGAAAGTAGAGGCCTGACCTGACCGGAATCCAGAGTGCCTAAATCATTCTTAATATGAGAGCCTCGCGCCCCTTGTTCTCGGGATTATCCTCTGTAGAACAGGAAAGATTTTGCTGGCTAATCTATATAGGAATGCCCACTTCGGACGAGGTGAAGGGAAGTGCCCAGGATCAAAAGTGACTCTCTTAGAACTAGCCACTTAATCCTTTTGTGTAACAGTTAGAGGCTGTTGCTGTAGCAGGAGAGGATACAGCGTCGTAACATGATGTTTTGCGTTTTTAGCTGTAGGAGAAGCAATAAAGCAAAGTGATTGATTACTGTATGTCATTTGTGCCTTTCTGTGTGGAGTTGGAACTGACAACCTTACATTCAGTTGCCAGTGGGTGCAGAGGCAACAGTCTGAGCAGAGCCGCCCAGACTTCCCTCACTTCCCTCTCCACTTCTCCAGCTCCTCCAGGGGAATCCCAGGGCGTTCCCAGGCCAGCTGAGAGACACAGTCCCTCCAGTGTGTCCTGGCTCATCCCCAGGTCTCCTCTCGGGGGGACACCTGACACCTCTCCAGGTTCCGGACAGACCAGGAGGCATCCGAAACAAGTCGAGGAGCAGTGGCTCTTCTCTGAGCGTCTCACGGAAACTAATTTCTGCATTGACACCAATATTCAAGACAAATTTAGACTATACCAGGTTTCGGTAACCTTTTTTATTGAAAGTGTTTTACTAGAGAGAAACAGTCTAGAGCAGCAAATGATTTAGCTCTTCTTATACATTGTTCAAGTTTTAATCTTTTCAACATATTTACAATGTTGCAATCATTGATCACTAAACATGAATATATGATGAAAAAGAGTTCAACCGGATATTAGTGATATTTGCAGATCTCAATGCCTTACCATGATACAGTGCATTGTACAGAATCCATATAAACATAGAAATTATTTCATTTTTGCGAAAGGAGCTATTACTAGGAGGCTGAAGGGCCGCAAGTGGCTCTAGAACATGGACCCTATATTAGGAGTGGACCGACCGAGCGCTCACATCGCCATGGTGTTTGCCAAATGTGGAAGAAGCCAAATTGAACATAAGCTATAGCTGGAGCTAATTTCCTTATGGGCTTTTGTTCCAACAGGGTTAATTTCATGCTCCAAGAGAGGCAGACCTGTTGCTAACATGGTTGTTAGGGTCTAGATGGAGTTTCCCCCACAAATGAAGAAGACATCTGATTGGTCAATCCTTATTAGGCTCATATCTGGATTTACATGACAATTTCAAATCATGAACTCCAAGATCATAGAGAGAGTCAACCACAGATTTTTTAAGCCCGAAATGGTGAGTGTGACACAAACGGTTACTGGGCTAGAGGAATCAATAGTACCAAAAGCAAGTTGGAGCAAAACTTTGTACATGAGCACTTCCCCATTGGGCTTTTTTGAGATAGCGGGTTAGCATTGTCCATCTACCATCTATGCTGTAGCGTCACAAGTTAGATCTGGGCTATACAATTATAAAAGAAACCCAATAAGCCTAAAAAACTGTATCCCAACATGTATCTGCTTTTGCACATTCACTACTGTAACCTACCTGCAGTGATGCAAACATGCAAATGACTTCAGTAAAAGTCTGATGCTTTTTCCTCTGCACATAAATTCAGTGTCCCCGAGTAACCAAACGAAATCAACAGGGCTATTGACGACATACCTTCGCAGCTGTAAAACGTATGGCATATAAATCTTCGCATGTGTGCACTTACTGTATATAGCATCAGGGGAGGGTTGGTGGTGAGCTTTTAATTAGTTTGGTGTTGGTGGGGGGGGACCAAACAGAGCGGCCGTTGTGGAATAGTCTCCAGCTGTAGCACTACGTTCTTCCTCTGCCTCTCCCACTGCTAGTTCAGGTGTCCCAGGCCGCTTGAGGAACCCTTGGGTGGCATTGACCCAGACACAGAGGAGGAATGTATGAGAGCGTTCCTGGCAGGATGTGATATTGGCTGAGTGTCCCGTGGAGTTGGGAGCGGGGGCCAAGGGGCTGTCAGAGGATGATGAGCTCACGGGACACAGGATGCATGCGGACAGAGATGGACTGCAGTGCGAAACCTGCCAAAGAACAAGGCTTCAGGTGACACAAACCAAGCCAGCAGCTGTGAGAAGGAACTCTAAAGTCTCTTCAAGTTAACACTGGAACTTCCAGAGCAGTCAATTTGACGGGTTTTAGTTTTGGAAGTCATGTACATTTTTAGTCGCCATAACTTTATGGCTTTTTCTATGTCTATATGTAGTTCATTTCTTTGTCATTGTTTTGATTTCATTATTTTTTATTCTTGAAATGTGAGTAGTTCAACCATTAAGTCCTAAAGAAGAGCCAGTACTAGTTACCATAAGTGGTTTGAATGGGAGCAGTCAAAATGATTACATTTCTGTAAGAAATATTACGTATTACTTTTTGGACAATAAAAATTATAATGAGACGCTTCTCCATTTAGTCATTTCATGTTTTAGTTCACTAGTACAGGTGAAATAGTTCCTGGTAGCGTGATGGAAACAACTCAATGTCTCTGACTGATGAGGAACAATGTTAAAACATGGTTAAAATAAAGCACATCTGAATTTGAGAAGACAAGATTTTACGATAAAATGTTGTTATTGAAAGGGACAAAAAATGTTTTTGATACAATTCAATGGCACTTGTTGAATCTGACTCAAGCCTTTTTACCATGTATTTTTATCGCAGGGTAAAACAAAAACATCAATAGATAAATGCTGTAATAGTTTTGTTAGGCTCGGAGAGTGTTTGGGCCTGTGTCTTGACTGAGTGAGTGTGTGTGTGTGTGCATGTGCGTGGGGATTAGTGTGTGTGTGTTGTCTTGTAGTGTATTACATGCTATTGTATCGTGATACTGTTCTAATGTATACTTATTGACACTTTTCAAACTGTTTTGTTATTACGTTGTTTTTTTCTGTAACAAAGTTGTTCTACAGGTTTTTGTTGATTCATTTAAAGCAACAGTGGCTCAGTTGGTAGAGCATTGGCCTTTGGCCACCCCCCTGACCCAGAAATGGATTAAGGGGAAGAAAATGGATGGATGGCATTTAAACCAGTGAAGTAAACTCCTACAAGTTTTCATAGGGTTGATGACATCTGAAATGCCATCTGATGTTAAAACAACAACAATGTTGCTGCCACTTTAAAACAAAAACATGATATTACGGGAAAAATGATACAACACTGACATCTACTGGGTAGTTTTCTTATGGGCACATAAAACACAAGCCAAGGTTTTTATTGCATTAAAGTTAAAGTCAGTTACTTTTCAAAATGTGGAGAGAGTGAAACTTTTGAAGACAGGCTCCGGTTGGACCTGCCCACGCTCACCTCTGCAGCTTCATAATTTACAGAGGACTTAACTATTCTCCTCCAGCAAATCTTACTGGTCGGGGTAATATACGAAGATTATTATTGTTGAAAAATACTCACACATGAGTCATGTACAATGAAATTAAATGCTCATTTTGATTAAAAAAGAAATGCAATTTATGTTGCTAACATCAACTTTAAGCTCTTGCAATAAATAAACCTATCCTTGTAAAAAGAAAAGCAGTTCATTACTATATTCCTGGGTGCACTGCGCTGCAACATTAGAGGACTAATTTTGAAATTCATAAATGTGTTTTGTTTTGAGCCTTTTATTTTGACCCGCTCCTTTTTGTGGTGAAAAACTGACACAGCTTTTTATGTCATTAACATCCTTTAACATGTATTTTTTTATATAATAGGTGACATTTAATGGATAAAAAGTTTGTAGTTTGTCAATTAGGCCAACGCAGGACATTTATTGAAGTTGACTTTTAATTCACAGGTCATTCAAATGTAAAATATAAAACCTTAATACTGTGTTAAACTGTCATCCGAAGAATTCAACAATGCTTAAAGTCTACATTATGAATGAAATTAAATGCATAAGCTCTTGCGAATTTTGAGGCCAGTTGGAGACGAGTTTGGCTCCCATGATGAAGCAGTGGTATTCTACTGCCACCTTGTGAAAATATCACACAGGTGCAACTTATAATATTGGGGGGGGACACATGAAAACTACGTGAAAGCAACGTCACAGAGTTTACTCTACATTTGACAGGGAATTATAAACAATAAAATAAAATAAAGAATGTTTCAGTGATTACTCAATTCACAGACTAATGACACAATCCACATTTCTTTTGTGTTTTATTTTTAGTATTGATACTTGAATAGGAACAATAATAATACAAATTAATAATGACTTTTCTGTAATAGTCCCGGTTTTAGCTGCAAAGTAAGTTTTCTAATATATATATAAAACGTTAGAACACAGAGTATCAACAACATTGTGACATATGACAGCAGCATACACAGGGCTCATCAAAGTTCATATTCTAGTGAGTACACCGTTGGGTGGGTAGGTTTAAACCAGAATAAAAATAATTACAAAAAATAAAAAATAGCCACAGCTGTCCTGGGACAGACTGACAGAAGTGAGGCAACCAGTACGTGCCTCTGACCACAGACCAGACTAATTCTGGGCAATGTGGGCCAAGTGTCTTGCTCAAGGACACATGACAGTTTTGCACTTTACAGCCGTTTCAATGTGGCACCGCATGTTTTACCATCACAATGCTAACCAGGCACTACCCTGCTTAGCTTCAGAGGTCTGACGCGCTGGCTTTTGCATGCAGGTGGCGCCAAATGATCTTATTTTTAGATGTACAACTAAATCACCTTGAAACTAGCAACTATGTAATAGACCAAGCCACGTCTTAACCCATAGAGTCGGATTCTCATGTCTAAAATAGATTTTTTAGTATTTCTTTTCTTTTACAATTTTCTTGTCAAGACCTCGTGTACCATTTCCTCCTGGAGGGTGTTTGACTACAGGAAGAAGTTCCGATCACATGCAACATGATACCGAATAATACAACGTGTACATTCAAATACCAGTGATGAAAAGAGATATAATAAAATAATCAAATGCAACAACATATTGTGAGTGACAAGAACATGAGGAAGAAAATGGAGGATGGGGGATATCTTTAGGTTTTTTGAAAATGTTTTTCGAGGTACACTTCAATCTCTTCCAAAAGATACAAAACATTGTTAAAAAGGGCCCCCAAATATTAAACATCAAACTTTTTCAGCGGCCTCCACTCGTGTTTCTGTATAGCACCACCTACTGGCGACAGGAATAAAACAAGAGAAGGAAAAAGTCGCGTTCATGTCATAAACGTGATTTTGCACATAATATGAAAAAGAATGTCAGTCCTGTGTATAAAATAAATGTGCAAAATTGTTGTCTGACAGTATACAGAGTAAACATAAAATCTATATATAATACAGGTTTTACTTCTTTCAACCATGTGTATGTATATACAGTAAAGAGCAAAAGTTTGGATACATTGTCTCCTTCAATGAGTTTCCTTTCTTTTCATGACTATTGATTGCAGATTCACACCCAGGATGTGTAAGGGCTGTTTGACCAATAAGGACAGTGGTGGGTCCTGGGCCAGATGACCTGGCCTCCAGTCACCGGACATGAACCCAGTCCAGATGGTTTTGGGGTGAGCTGGACCACAGAGTGAAGGCAAAAGGGCCAACAAGTGCTAAGCATCTCTGGGAACTCCTTCAAGACTGTTGGAGACCATTTTAGATCACTAACTCTTGAAGCTCATCAAGAGAATGCCAAGAGTGTGTGAAGCAGTAATCAGAGCAAAAGGTGCTACTTTTAAGAACCTAGAATATAAGACATATTTTCACTTGTTTCATACTTTTTTTAGTATGTACATAATTCCACATGAGTTAATTCATAGTTTTGATGCCTTCAGTGTGAATCTACAATTTTCATAATCATGAAAGTAAAAAACTCTTTGAATGAGAAGGTGTGTCCAAACTTTTGGTCTGTACTGTATGTATGTGCGACCCTACAAAAATATCAGTAATTTATGGCACAAACTAGTCCATCCTCCTCTTCCTCAATGTTTCAAAAAACAGCACTCTAGCAACATATTAATTCCCTGTGAACATTTCCAAACTCCATACTGAATTAAGCCTTTTATTCAACAATTGAAAGAATGAAAAGTGTGGCTTGGAAAAGTATTTATCCGTATTTACTATGTGTGCAGTTGCTGAATGGTTAAATCTCGAGTCCACCAGAGCTGTAATCTACTTTCAGTATAATTACATTTGCCACATTGATGCATCAGTTAGCCCACCTGCTTTCTGGGATTTACTATTCCACCTCCAGACAAGGAGTTTGTATGATCTCTCCATGTCTGTGTGGGTGTTTTCCTGGTACACCGGTTTTCCCCCACTATACTATAAAGATGTGCAATAGATATGCCATGCACCTCCTGAGTAGCTGAATTCTCCTGAGCACTTCCATCACAGGGTGTGGAGAAACACAAAGTACGTTTGCCGTAAAGATGGCGCTGTGGCAAGAGCTCTGGTGTGTGTCGTCTGGTGCACACTGGGGTAGTCTTGCACAGTTTTTCCAATGTGGTTTTATTGCAAATGGCAAATAAATGAATCTGAATCTGAATCTGACATTTCACCCCCATCTCCAAGAATATCTGGTGAGGTCTACCTCCTCATATTTACTAAGACATCTACAGCATACCACCTTCATTACTCCCAGGATATATAAAGAGATTAGGAGACACGTTTTTTGCTATAGAGCCCCTGAGGACCGGGACAATCTCCCAGCTTCAATAAAATCTATTTCCTCACTTGCAATTGTTAAAACCGCCTTAGTTGCACACCTTACTGTAAGACAGCCAGTGATAGCTGTAAGTAGCTTTCAGAAAAATCTAAGTAATAATTGTATCCAAAGTTAGTCTAGCTGCAGATAGGGACCGGGTTTGATGGGCATGGTGGGGACGAGCAAACCATGTCTTTGTTTTTTGTCTATGATTTTATTTTTGCATGTGCATATTCTCTGGTCTATTCTTTGTCTTTGGCTGTGTGTGTAACTTTTGTTTTATAACCATTTAGATGAAAAGGATGATAAGGACCGTCTTGGAAAAAGAGATGATTAATCTCAAAGGGCAATCCATAATTAATAAACAAAACAAAGTACATGCACAGACACGCTCAAACAAGCTCTTTCACACATGCACGTATACGCACACGCACACACGCACACTTACGCACACACAATCTCTCTCTCTCTCTCTCTCACACACACACACAAACACATACAAGTACTCACGCACACACACACACCTACACACAATTGAATATGTACATATGGGGGTGTAGGCTGTCAGATCAAAGGTGCATCCTGCTAACCAGAGCTGTCCCAGAGCAGATGTGCCTCCTGTGAGTCATACCTCTGGAGAGAGGGCTTCGGACATCTGCAGCTGGCCCCACCATTGTAAGCGATAGCCATCATGACATCAGCTCTTCCTGGCGCAGACCCACACACTGATCTGCAGGGCGAAAAATAGACCGCTCCTCGAACAATGATGATGATGACTGATCATTTGTGGTAAAAATGATCACAAAGGCTGGGTAAGATTTACACACAGGCCTGTCAAAGAAAAGAAACCGGTGAGAGAAAGATATTTCAAAATTAGGATATTGTTCAAAAAGTCCAATCCATTGTTTAACTTATAATGTAAAGCTAATACAGTCAATGTCAGACTAAATCTTTTTTTGGTATTATGTTGAGAATTATTTATGGTTCACTGTTTGTAAAAAAAAAAACCCTATAAAATGCAAAAACTGCTGAAAAAAAAGTAAAAAATTGCTCAAATTTGGCTAATTTGAGCACCTTAAAACCAGATTTTCTTTTGGGACAGGCAAAATGATCTTGTTTTGAAAATATGTAAATGTCTCCCTTGGAATGAGAATTTAAGCAGCAGTTCTTTAAATAAGACTAAATGGCTTTGTCCCTTTGGTGAATCTTGTTTTATGACAGTCAGATTGTATTCAAATTACAGTCAGATGAAATAAGAATAAAATACTACTGAAATTATCACCTCCTATTTTATCATTTTTTGCCGTGGGACCTCAGAAATTTGGAATATTTTGGCATCAGGCATAATCATCAATATTTTAACAAACAAATGCTTGGCACATGTCACTTTACGTGTGATGAGTCCATTGCGTATATTGGTAGTGTACAATCTCAATCTCGAGATTGAGAAAACAGATTAAGAGTCACAAAGCCCTTTTTGGTATTTTTGTTGGCAAATAAAGACAGTGATGAGAGAGAGGTGTAGGGTCAGAGAGTGTTTTGTCTGAGTGTGTGCGTGTGATGAAACTAATAGTAGACTCAGTACACACAAATATCAATGTTTTATTTATTATAATGTTGATATTTGTCTCACAGCTGTAAAGCGCCAAAAAAAATAAACTTCTCAGAAGATTAGAATATTTGAAAAATGGACACTAATCATAAACATTTGATGTTACTTTTCATGCAATACACGTAAGTCTACAGTACTGTATATCTTATATTGGTTTCATATTTTAAGTTTAATTACTGAAACAAATTACCTTTTTTAAACAATATTCTACTTTTCTGAGTTTCACCTGTATGCTTTTGGCTAGTAGAAAGAACATAAAAATAAAAATAATAAAAGACATATGGTATAGTCTGTCAGTCTAATCACCATCAAATAGTACAACTTTCAAAAAAGGATTATTCCCCATGGTTGTTTTGGCACCTGTTCTCCAACTGAAATAGAACTGTAGAACACAAAAACAACCTGTTGTCACCATTGCAAAAATTTTCATCGCTCCAAAGACCCATGTTGTGCGCTTCTCAAAGGTTGACCGACAGCTCCTAAATATGTTCAAATACTGAAGAGATGAAAGGAACAGGGGCAGGTAACAACAAGCCATGCTCAGCAGCTGACCTCCGCAGGATCAAAGCTCTAGAGTGTCGTGAAATTCATTAATCAAAGAGAACCACCCTCCCAGTCACATGGTCACGGCTACAACATGCGAGCCACATAAGCTACATACAGTCTTTGTCGAGAAAAGAATGCTGCAGTGTCACTCCACATATACTCATTGAGTTGTTGCTCTTTGATCATAAAGGTTTCAGTTGGTTTTGCTATTTGGATAAGCCGGCAAGGGTGTACAGGGTTCTAGGGCCTTTCAGCATGTCTATCAATCCTACACAAGATCCTAAGAGATTGAAATTGCAAAAATGTTTCTTTCTTTTTCTGTTAATCTCATGTCAACCTACTAGAACAGATAGTACCTCTGTGTCCTCTGTGTCCTCTCTGTGTCCTTTGTGTCCTCTGTGTCCTCTCTGTGTCCTCTGTGTCCTCTGTGTCCTCTCTGTGTCCTCTGCGTCCTCTGTGTCCTCTCTGTGTCCTCTGCGTCCTCTGTGTCCTCTACGTCCTCTGTGTCCTCTGCATCCTCTGCATCCTCTGTGTCCTCTACGTCCTCTGTGTCCTCTGCGTCCTCTGCATCCTCTGCGTCCTCTGTGTCCTCTCTGCGTCCTCTGTGTCCTGTGTCCTCTCTGCGTCCTCTGCATCCTCTGCGTCCTCTGTGTCCTCTCTGCGTCCTCTGTGTCCTCTGTGTCCTCTGTGTCCTCTCTGCGTCCTTTGTGTCCTCTGTGTCCTCTCTGCGTCCTCTGCGTCCTCTGTGTCCTCTCTGCGTCCTCTGTGTCCTCTGTGTCTTCTCTGCGTCCTCTGTGTCCTCTGTGTCCTCTCTGCGTCCTCTGCGTCCTCTGTGTCCTCTGTGTCCTCTCTGCGTCCTCTGTGTCCTCTCTGCGTCCTCTGTGTGTCCTCTGTGTCCTCTGTGTCCTCTCTGCTTCCTCTGTGTGTCCTCTGTGTCCTCTGTGTGTCCTCTGTGTCCTCTCTGTGTCCTCTGTGTCCTCTGTGTCCTCTCTGCGTCTTCTGTGTGTCCTCTGTGTCCTCTGTGTCCTCTCTGCTTCCTCTGTGTGTCCTCTGTGTCCTCTGTGTCCTCTCTGTGTCCTCTGTGTCCTCTGTGTCCTCTGCGTCCTCTGCGTCCTCTCTGTGTCCTCTGCGTCCTCTGTGTCCTCTGTGTCCTCTGCGTCCTCTCTGTGTCCTCTGTGTCCTCTGTGTCCTCTCTGTGTCCTCTGCGTCCTCTGTGTCCTCTCTGTGTCCTCTCTGCGTCCTCTGTGTCCTCTGTGTCCTCTGTGTCCTCTGCGTCCTCTGTGTCCTCTCTGCGTCCTCTGTGTCCTCTGTGTCCTCTCTGTGCTTGGTTTTTGTTTTGACGATCTCTAGAGGAAGCCATCGTGCATCCAGTGGGATTTGCTGAGGTCATATTTGGAAAGACTACACCTGTGTGCCATTTGATCCTTTTCTGTCAGATTGCTTTGCAGTCTGGTGTTCTGTTGATTAAATTAAATTAAATTCTTATTCCCCTATTTTGTGATATTAATAAATTACTATTAATGTTTTGTCTTATAGATAAATGTCCTGTTAAACAATCTCAATGTAAACATTTCATGGGAACATGGTATGAAAAAATCATACGCTTTATGTAAGCCATAACATAATTGGTGATAAGGGACTTACATTTTACATCAGATCAGCATGAATTTTCAGATTCATGCTGCTAAAATCTGGAACAATCTTCCTGAAGATGTGAGACAGGCCTCCTCTCTGACAATGTTTAAAACCAGGTTAAAAACAGTTCTGTTTAGCTGTGCATACAACCGAGGGATTTTATATTTTTATCTTTCTTTTTGATGTATTATTTGTGATTTTAATGCTTTCTTGTTTTGTTCAGCACTTTGAGTTGCCTTGTGTATGAATTGTGCTATACAAATAAACTTGCCTTGCCTTGCCTTACATCCACTTTGATTCACAGGATTCATCTTTATTCTTTCATACGCAAATAAGAACCATAAACACATACAGAGTAACATGGTAGTCCCCTGTACACCTACATATGTATCAATGCATGATGTGGATTTCCAAACTGTATTCTCAAACTGTGTATTATATGACACACACAAACACATTTTAGCCCCTTTTTCATTTTGAGTATTGGCTCACAGGGGGGAGTCCCCCCTGGACTGCCACCTTAAGGTGGTGGGGGAGTTTGAGTACTCGGATGATCCTGGGAGCTATGCTGTCTGGGGCTTCATGCCCCTGGTAGGGCCTCCCATGGCAGACAGGTCTCAGATGACGAGTCAGACGAAGCGCAGTCCAAAAACCACCATGGATCGCACTATAACGAGAGCAGTGACGTCGCCCGGCATGGCGCAGCCGGGGCCCCACCCTGGAGCCAGGCCTGGGGTCGGGGCTCGTATGTGAGCGCCTGGTGGCCGGGCCTTAGCCCACGGGGCCCGGCCGGGCTCAGCCCGAAGGGATGACGTGGGCAGTCCCTCCTGTGGGCCCACCACCTGCAGAGGGGTCCGTGGTGGCGCGGTGCTGAGAGGACTGGGCGGCAGTCGAAGGCGGAGACCTCGACGACCCAGTCCGCACACACAACATCTGGCTCTTGGGACGTGGAACGTCACCTCACTGGGGGGGAAGGAGCCCGAGCTCGTGGGGGAGGTTGAGCGATACCGACTAGAGATAGTCGGCCTCACCTCCACACACAGCTTGGGCTCTGGAACCCAACTCCTTGAGAGGGGTTGGACGCTCCACTTTTCTGGAGTTTCCCACGGGGAGAGGCGGCGAGCTGGGGTGGCCATTCTCATTGCCCCCCATCTCAGCCGCCACGTGTTGGAGTTCTCCCCGGTGAATAAGAGGGTCGCGTCCCTCCGCCTCCGGGTGGGGGACAAGTCTCTCATTGTTGTGACGGCCTACGGGCCTAACAGCAGTGCAGAGTACCCGGCCTTCTTGGAGTCCTTGGGAGGGGTACTGGACGGTGCACCGCCCGGGGACTCCGTTATTCTCCTGGGGGACTTCGACGCCCATGTGGGAGTCGCCAGTGACACTTGGAGAGGGGTGATCGGAAAGAACGGCCCCCCTGATTTGAACCCGAGCGGTGTTCAGTTGTTGGACTTCTGTGCCAGTCACAGTTTGTCCATCACGAACACCATGTTCGAGCACAAGGGTGTCCACCAGTGCACGTGGCACCAGGACACCCTAGGTCGGAGGTCGATGATCGACTTTGTTGTCGTATCATCTGACCTTCGACCGCATGTCTCGGACACTCGGGTAAAGAGAGGGGCGGAGCTGTCAACCGATCATCACCTGGTCGTGAGTTGGATCCGCTGGCAGGGGAAGAAGCCGGCCAGACCTGGCAGACCCAAGCGTATAGTGAGGGTCTGCTGGGAACATCTCGCTGAGCCCCCTGTCAGACGGACTTTCAACTCGCACCTCCGGGAGAGTTTCTCCCAGGTCCCGGCGGAGGAGGGGGACATGGAGTCCGAGTGGACCATGTTCTCTGCCTCAATCGCCAATGCGGCGGCTCGTAGCTGTGGTCGCAAGGTCTCTGGTGCTGGTCCCGGCGGCAACCCCCGAACCCGGTGGTGGATACCGGCAGTAAGGGATGCTGTCAGGCTGAAGAAGGAGTCCTATCGAGCCATGATGGTTCGGGGGACTCCTGGGGCAGCTGTCCAGAGGCAAAAACCCGGGACTGGGAGGAGTTCGGAGAGTCCATGGAGCATGACTATCGGTCGGCCTCGAAGAGATTCTGGCAAACCATCCGGCGCCTCAGGAGGGGGAAGCAGTTCTTTGCCAACACCATGTACGGTGCGGGTGGAGAGCTGCTGACCTCGACTGGGGATATTCTTTCTTTCTTTATTTATTTATATACCGCCTTTCACAGACCAGAGCCACAAAGCGGTTTACAATTGTTATTATTTTTGGGCATTGGTCCACTCACTCCACACAGAGATGGGAGCGGGGTCGCCAGTACAGGAGGCGCATGCCAGACCTATTGTGCATGTTTTTAGTGGTAGGGGAAACCGGAGTACCCGGAGGAAACCTACGCAGACACGGGGAGAACATGCAAACTCCACTCAGAAAGGCCCTGGTCCGGCCGGGATTCGAACCCAGGACCTTCTTGCTGAGAGGCGAGAGTGCTATCCACTCAGCCACCGCGCCGCGGTGGAAGGAATACTGTCGGGCGGTGGAAGGAATACTTTGAGGTTCTCCTCAATCCCCCCGTCACGTCCTCTGTTACAGAGGCAGAGGCTGAGGATGTTGGGGCGGATATATCCATCTCCCTGGCTGAGGTCACCAAGGTGGTTGGTAGCCTCCATGGTGGCAAGGCTCCGGGTGTGGATGAGATCCGCCCTGATTATCTAAAGTCTCTGGATGTTGTAGGACTGTCTTGGCTGACACGTCTCTGCAACATCGCGTGGCGATCGGGGGCAGTGCCAATGGAGTGGCAGACCGGGGTGGTGGTCCCTCTCTACAAGAAGGGGGACCGGAGGGTGTGTTCCAATTATCGTGGGATCACACTCAGCCTCCCCGGTAAGGTCTACTCCAGGGTACTGGAGAGGAGGTTACGGCCGATGGTCGAATCTCGGATCCAGGAGGAGCAGTGTGGTTTTCGTCCCGGTCGCGGAACACTGGACCAGCTCTATACTCTCCATCGGATACTCGAGGGTTCATGGGAGTTCGCCCAACCTGTCCACATGTGTTTTGTGGATTTGGAGAAGGCGTTCGACTGTGTTCCCCGGGGTGTCCTTTGGGGGGTTCTCCGGGAGTACGGGGTCGGGGGTCCTCTGCTGAGGGCCATCCGATCCCTGTATGACCGGAGCCAGAGCTGTGTTCGCATTGCCGGCAGTAAGTCAGACCTGTTCCCGGTGAATGTTGGCCTCCGACAGGGCTGCCCTTTGTCACCGGTTCTGTTCACTGTATTTATGGACAGAATATCTAGGCGCAGCCAGGGGTCGGAGGGGGTCCGGTTCGGAGACCACAGGATTTCATCTCTGCTGTTTGCGGACGATGTTGTCCTGTTGGCTCCAACGAACCAGGACCTGCAACATGCACTGGGGCGGTTTGCAGCCGAGTGTGAAGCGGCTGGGATGAGAATCAGCACCTCCAAATCTGAGGCCATGGTGCTCGACCGGAAAAAGGTGCCTTGCCCTCTGCAGGTGGGTGGAGAGGCCCTTCCTCAAGTGGAGGAGTTCAAGTATCTCGGGGTCTTGTTCACGAGTGAGGGAAGGATGGAGCGTGAGATTGACAGGCGGATCGGTGCAGCGTGCGCAGTGATGCGGTCGCTGTATCGGACCGTTGTGGTAAAGAGGGAGCTGAGCCGAAAGGCAAAGCTCTCGATTTACCGGTCAATCTTCGTTCCCTCCCTCACCTATGGTCATGAGCTTTGGGTCGAAATGAGCTTCCTCCGCAGAGTGGCTGGGCGCTCCCTTAGAGATAGGGTGAGGAGCTCAGTCACACGGGAGGAGCTCGGAGTAGAGCCGCTGCTTCTCCACATCAAGAGGAACCAGTTGAGGTGGCTCGGGCATCTGTTCCGGATGCCTCCTGGACGCCTCCCTGGGGAGGTGTTCCGGGCACGTCCCACCGGGAGGAGGCCCCGCGGAAGACCTAGGACACGCTGGAGGGACAATGTCTCTCAGCTGGCCTGGGAACGCCTTGGAGTCCCCCCGGATGAGCTGGAGGAAGTGTGTGTGGATAGGGAAGTCTGGGCGTCTCTGCTTAGACTGCTGCCCCCGCGACCCGACAACGGATAAAGCGGAAGAAAATGGATGGATGGATGGATGGGCTCACAGATGAAAATGTACATATTTTGAAACTGGACTGTGAGCCACATTAGTAAAAAGTACAACAAAGGCACATGTCGCTGTGCATGTAATGAATATATATCACTTACTGCTTCCGCATCTTCAGTTGAACTAAATTCACTTTTGAACTATTTAATTTTCTGAGTTTCATCAATAGAGTAAAAAACGTGTAAAATTCACAGAAGTCAACAAATCAAAGATGCAGCGTGCCTGTGATGGTGCACCTGTAAGGATAGCTGTGGGGCTACAGGTGCGCCCCCATGTGTCCCCTCAGACAGGCCGCGGGGCACTTGGCTTCACTTCAGACCAACACATGTGTGAAATGTGCCTTTGACGAACAGCTGTGCTTTTAGGGTTAACAGTGTGTCTAACAAGTGACCATGACAGCTGCACCCCCCCTGACCCACAGACCACCCTCCTCACCTAAGTCTCTCAGGGTGCAACTTTCTCGGGTGCCCCTCCAGGAAGGCTCCTTTTACACTCCTAAAAGCTTGTTGAAAGAAGAAATATTATGAATATTTATTCATGTATGTATTAATTTATTTATACCTTGCCCTTTCATTTTTTAGAATGTGGAATAATACCT